TAGGCTTAGCCAACTGTCAGAACAACAAAATATATAGAAGAATAAGAATTAGTACAAGACAGATGGATTTTTATCCAATTTTCATTAAATTTACTTCAATTTTTTCAATTTATATAAAATTTAATTAATTTTTCCAAATAAAACTTTGGGGTTAACGATCACTCCGAGTCAAAATTCCTCTAAGTTTAATTTATTTATTTATTTAAAACTACCAAGTAACAAAGACAGAAAATTATATTAATTAAGTTTTATTGAATTTAAATTTTAAACATTTATTTAGTTTTCATTTAATCAAAATTTCATGAACTAATTTGAAATTTCTAATTTTCGATAATTTCATCCTTGAAGAAATGATGAGACGAACTTTAAAAATAAAAAACACGAAAAAATTGCGAAAAAACGCAAGTTTATATAAATGTCAAATATTATTTTCAAAGCGGAAGATGGACATCTGTCTTTATTTAACAACCCTCTGTCGGGGCGAATAGTTTTCCACGTCTGTCCTTTGAATGACACTGAAAGGGGGTGGAAAAGAAGAAAAAAAGCATCGAAAACTTGTATACGAAGAAAAAGAATGGGGAAAACAAGTCCGACTTACATTTTTCCGCGTCTCGGACCCGCTCATCTCATTTCTTTTTTCACAACTCTCTCTCTCTCTTTCTCTTTCTCACCCCCTCAACTTTCCTTCGAGCGTAACATCCCTCTCTTGGGTATTTCATCCTTCTCGTTCTTTTACGGTAAAAAGCCTCCCGTTAATGCTGGAAAACTTCACACGGACATTAATTTTTTTTTTCTAAATTACAATTCGTATTTCTTTCACGACAAAAAAAAAAAAAATTCATTCATCATTCCGAGTGTTTTTCTTCATCGGTTATTTTATTTATTTTGTTTTTTTGTTTTATTTTGTTTTTTTCCTATTTTTTTATTTTGTTCTTTTTATTTTCTTTTTTTTTTCTTCTTTTTCTTTTTTTTCTTTTTTTATTCTACTTTTTTATTATGTTTTTCATTTTATTTTTTTATTTTGTTTTTCAATTTATTTTGTTTTCTTATTTTATTATTTTCTTTCTTACTCTATTTTGTTTTCTTATTTTATTTTTTTATTTTATTTTGTTTTTTTAATTTTATTTATTCCCTTTTCTATTCTATTTATTCTCTTCTTTTTTTATTGCTTTTGTTTTATTTTGTTTCTTTATTGGTTTTCATTTTATTTACTTTGTTTTTTTTATTGTCTTTACTTTCTAAAGTGAGGAAAAAAATAACATTTAGTAACAGTTTTTTTTAATTTTTTTTCTATGTTGTTAAGATGAAATGTTGCTATTGGAAAAATTTGTTTTACAAAGAAAAAAAAAAATTGTTTTGAGAGAAAAACGATTGAATTTGTGTTAAGAGTGTAAAAACAGGTTTTAAAAATATTTTTTCCCTTGTATATACGACAAAAGAGGGATGTAAAAAAAAAATCTGTAAGACTTTAATTTAAAAGAAGCTTGTAAGGAATTTCCTTTCTGTGCGAGCTATTGAACAAGATACGACCCTCGCTTTTCCAACTATCGAGAAGTACGTACGTCGCTCGTAAAAACAAGTTGGTTCGCTCGAGGGATGTGGAAGTAACGTTGAGATGATTTCTCTCTCTCCCTGTTTTTTTTTATTTTATATCTCTCTTTTTCTCGTTCACGTCACTTTTTCTTTCTCTCTTCCTCTTTCTCACTTTTTTTTTTCTCCTTGGAAAGCTCAAGCAATGCTTTTTATCAGAGTAACGCTTTTCGCGTTTACTCCACGTCGTTTTGAGCGTTGGCGGTTGCAGAAAGAGAGTAAAAACATTGCGCTTGATACTGTAACATATACGTGTTTGTGTTTATATATAGAAAAGGTAGCTGTAAAATTTAGAATTTTCTGGTCAAGGACAATCTGTTTTGTTGAAAAGATTTTTTCTCCAAAGTGCCAAAGACATCAAAAGACACATATAAAGTGAAATGCAATTTGCAAAAATATAAAAGACGCTGATTCCCATGAGGTGGGTAAAAAAAAAAGTTCAACTCGATTTCTTTCACATTCAATTTAACGACCTCTTTATACTCTTCCAATAGAAGAGAAATCAACGCATTTTTTATAGGGGTCAATACAGTAAAGTGGCCCATTGGTCCTGAGAGAAGCATAAAATCTAACCGAACGATGAGTTACAATTTGTAGAAACTCTTACTTTGCAATTATACCAATTATGTAAATTTCCCTGGATTTCTATCGCTTTTCCCCACTTCAATTTTTACCCCAAATATAAATTTCTTCCATTGTAAGGAAAGAAAATTCTTTGACTTTATTTTCATTTAATCCAAATTTTTTTTAACCCTCGCAGAAAATTTTTTTACACTCGTTGACAAAAGTATTTTTTTTGCAAAAACTAAATAAAGTCTTAATAAGATGACAATAGCTGAGAAATTCACCTGGAAAGTTTTTTTGGGGGGGGGCGAAATAGGCTAGATGGAAATTCTTTGCCAGAGCTTTTGCTTTTCATTTCTGTATTAATGTTTCGAATGCATGCAACAAGTATTTGAAATATAGGTACTACATTGGCGCACGATCGTTACACTCTTCTTCGCGTGTCCAATGTAATGTCACATAACAACATTTTTTATCGTCGAAATGATAAAAATGCCTATGAAAAAACTTTTCGCCGAACATCTGGAATTTATTTCTTTTTCTGAATTGAAAAAAAAGGGAGGAAAATTATTGTTAGTCGTATACAAAATATAAATAAAACGAGTAAAATAAAAGAATAAAATAAAAAAAAAAAAAAAGTTAAATAAAAGAATTTTAAAAAAGTAAACTAAAAGAATAAAGTAAAAAAAAAGTAAAATAGAAAAAGAAAATAAAAGAATAAAATCAAAAAAAGTAAACTAAAAGGATGAAATAAAAAAAAAGTAAACTAAAAGAATGAAATAAAAAAAGGAAAATACAAAAAGAAAATAAAAGAATAAAATAAAAAAAGTAAATTAACGATATTAAGAAATAAAATAAACAAAATAACATTTGAAATAAAGTAATAAATAAAAAATAAATAAAATATAAATTAAAATACTAAATAAGAAGCGCTTTATATACCTGCGTCTTGGTAGGAGCGCGAGCCAATCGCGACGCGACCCCCCACTCCCTCTCCATCAACCAATGATCAACTTTTACCTACAATACAATTACTATTTTGATCCTTTTTATTCTTTTTTTTTTTGCAAAACGAATTTTTATTTAAAAGTATGTCAATGTAAACAGTACTTTCACATTTATTTTTTACTAGATAATTTATTGTTTTCATTTAATCTAATATTTAAAAATCTTTATATTCATCTTTTTCAATTTTTTTATATTTACTTACTTTTAATACATTTAATTATATTTTAATACGTTTATATATTTTTTGTTATATTTAATTACTTTTTAATTTACATTTGTTTTGTTTATTTTATAGTTTTTATATTTATTTTTGAAATTTAATTACTTTTACATTTCATTATTATATTTTAATACTTTCATATTTTTTATAATATTTAATTACTTTTCTATTTCTTTATTTACTTTATTAATTTCATATTTAAGTTTTGTTTTATTTATTAGTTTTATACTTGTTTTGTTTATATTCTTGCTTCTATATTTATTTTTTTACATTGAATTACTTTTACATTTGTTTATATTTCAATATTTTGTTAAATATTTAGGTAATTACTTTTTTATTTACATGTTTACTTGTTTATTTACATTATTAATTTCAAATTTACATTTTTGTTTAAACAAAAATGTAAATTTGAAATTAATACTAAATATTTAACTGAATATTTAGTTTTATAGGGTAAGTGTACCAATTGCCGAGGGTGTTCCATTTGTCGATGTTACCATGGTAATAACCAAAAAATATTGTCTAAAATGTCTCATTTGTTTGTTTATATAATATTAATATATTTTTTTCACATTTATAACGCATAAAAAAATTAATATTTATTACTTTTTTTCATTTACAATGTGCTACACTGTTTAAATAAAATTCAAAGTTTGTTTACTCGACAACAGGAACCATCCTCGACAATTGGTACGTTTACCCTATTTGTTTTGTTTTTTAATTGCTTCTATATTTATTTTTACATTTAATTAGATTTTAATACTTTTATATTTTTGTAATATTTAAATACTTTTTTATTTTTTTATTTTACCTTATTAATTTTATATTAACATTTTGTTTTATTTACTAGTTTTATATTTGTTTTGTTTATTTTATTGATTCTATGTTTATTTTTTACATTTAATTACTTTTATATTTATTCTTTTATATTTATTCTTTTATATTCTATTAGTTTTATTATTTATATTTTTAACTATGTTAATTTTACATTCAATTTTACTTATTTAATTACATTTATATTTACGTTTACATTTTTTTTAATATTTCCTTATTTTTATGGTTTGTAAAAATTCCAAAAATTAAGACAACATATATTTTTCTTTTTTTTCTCTGTTTCATTACTTTTATATTGTATCGTTCAGCAAATAATTTAAATTTTATTAGTTTTGAAAGTGTATTTTGTTTACATTTTCGATTATTATTCTTTTCATGCATCGTCGAATTTTTGTAAACAAACAAACATTTCGACTTTGAAAAGGTTTCATTGTGTGATCCCTTTTTTCCTTCGAAGATAAGAAAAGGAAGGTATCAGGTAGAAGGTTTTGTTCGTCTGAAAATCAATTTTAGTTTCAGTTTTCGTCTCTTAGTATCAAATAGAAAAATTATAAAACTAATTCGTAATAAAAATTTTAAATTTGAGAAATATAAGTGAATTACATAAACAATTGGACAAAACACATTTATTTTTCAGTATTTTTAGTATTTAATATACTTTCACAATTTTTTATGTTTTTATTTGTAAATAAATTTATGTTTTTATTCATAAATAAATATTTTCCCTTTTTAATTTTATTTTTTTATACTCAATTATTAACAAATAAAAATTTTTTCATTCCAGATGGTGACAAGGACAAAGAAAATATTCGTCGGCGGCTTATCAGCGCCGACGACGCTGGAGGACGTCAAAAATTATTTCGAACAGTTTGGACCGGTAAGCGAATTATTCTTTTCGTCCCTAAAATATTTATAATTTCAACAAAAATAATAATATTGAGTTATAAAATTTTAATCAAACTATAATGTCAATTCTAATTTGTGAGGAATATTTTGAAATAATGAATTCGCAAATTACAATTCAGTACGAGCTAATAATCATTAAATGAATTGGCCTGACTAATTAGCAACTCTGTATGTAACTATATGATGATGATGACGATGATGATGATGATAAACCTGATGATTTGGATGACCATCAATCACTGAATATCTCTCCCTTTGTGTGTTGACAAAATCTCACGTGAAATATTGAAACCGCTAATTAATAATCAAAACATTATTTTATGACGCATAGTAGTTGAATTTCGTATATAACAATGCCGTTTGGATAATTCATTTAATGAGACTGTTGTTCATTTTCGAATGGGGAAATTCAGGCAAAAATTTTTTGGGTAAAAATAAGTAGAGTTTATTGAATTCTTTATTGTTTACTGATCGTTTATTTTCAATTTAATATTTTCCTCTTGTTTGTTGTTATTTTTGCATAATTTTCATTTAGAGGGGGCTTAAAATTTAGTGAATTTACTGTTAACTTGTATTTGCGCTTAAAAAAAAGGAATAAAAATGGAAAATAACGGCGTAAACGTTAAATCACAATTTAATTAAAGCTCTTCAATTTATCTTTTTTCGACCAAAGGTTACGCACACGTATCATGTAGTTGTTAATTGAGTAACTAAATCATTAACAGTGGGAGACTCTTCTATCGGATGATTTATTTTGTTTTTTTTATTTAATTACAAATTTCCGTATGTTTGTATTTTTTGTTAATTTGTTTTTAATTTTAAATAACAGTTATTAAATAATTTTTTATTATCAAATGACAATTTTTATTAACAGTTATTTTTATTATTATTATTATTATTATTATTATTATTATTAATAGTTATTTTTTGATTCAAAATAATTTTTAGGCTTTAAAAAATAATTTTTTTTCTTAAAGTTAGTTTAAAGTATAGCTGTTTTGTCTTAAAACAGTTTTTGGAATGGAAATACAGCAACAAATTTTTTTTTTTATTACAAATATAATTTATAAAAGTGTAGAAAAAAGGAAATATCTTAAGAAATTGAATATTTTCAATTGAAGAAAATTTCCATTGACAAGATTGCCATTTATACTGAAGAAATTTGGCGAATTTCCCCTTTAAAGTAGACACTTGATCATCACATATAAGCCAGATAGTAAATTTTCATTTAAAAGATCTATTTGGTAGAATCTCAATTTTCCTATATCAGTTTGGCTCCTAAAACTCATAAACAGTTATTTCTCCCATGTAATTCACGATTTGCGATTTCAAGTTGCTCTTCTGAACATTTCTCATCCCTTCAGTTTGCCTCTATCCTCGAATACCTCACGATCGATATAGCAGTCACTCTTTCTCTCTCTCCCTTTCTCTCGCTCGCTCACGCTCTCTTGAGACCTGAATTCAAGCTGGTAAGTGATTGTGAATTTTCCAACAAGGAAAAATTATTCTTTATTTTCAGAATTTGAATAATAATAATAATAAAAATTGATCATTTTCTGCTATGATATCGAATATAGGGGAAAGTGGAAGCAATTGACATAGTTTTTTTTTCTTAAATTAGTTACAGTTATAAACAGCTGAAGTGTTAAAATATTAGAAATTAAAAAGTAGAATAAAATATAATATAAAATAAAATAAAATATTTTAAAGTAGTTTTGTATGACTAAAAGCAGTATTTACTACTTATAGTATTTTCTAATTTAAAAATTTAATAAATTGACAGACTATAGTTTGTTTTTACAACTTATTTCACAATTTAAACGAATGTTTACTAATAATACTTCAATCAATTGCATTTAATCATTATGTCTGACTATAGCTTACTATTACTACTGAAATTAAAATGTATGTCTGACTGAAAATTGTCGTAACTACTTATTCGAACAATTGAAAATTGTCACATCTGACAAAAATATGTCATTACTACTTAAATTAAACAATTTTTAATTTTAGTCTGATTAAAACTTGTTTATACTACTGATAAAATAAATTCTTCTAAATATTACTTTTAGACAGAAAACTGACTCACTAACAAGAAGAAGAAGAAGTAAGACTACTTTTAGAAGTAAAAATTCTTATCTGACTAATATTACTTTTACTACTTTTTTTATAAAATTTTTAATCCTCTTAAAATAGTTTTGTCTGACTAAAAACTATATTTACTACTTAGCAGTATTTTCTAATTTGCATATTAAATAAATTGACAGACTATTATTTGTGTTTACTACTTATTTCACTATTTAAACGAATTTTTACTACTAACATTTAAATGAATTTCATCCAATCATTATGTCTGACTAAAACTTGCAATTACTACTTAAATTGAAGAATTTTGAAATTTGTCTGACTGAAATTTGTTCCTACTACTCATTTGAACAATTACAATTGGTCATGTCAGACAAAAAAAATACTAAAACCTGTATTTATTACTTAGCATCATTTTCTAATTAGCAGATTTTTAAAAATTTGTCTGACTATAATTTTCCTCTACTACTTCTTTCACTATTGGAACGTAAATAGTTTTACTATTCATAAATAGTCGAATTACATTTTAAAAGTATGTGTGACTATAGCTTAGAAATTAGTTATTACTTATTTAAACTAAGGAAAATTGTTGTCTGACTGAAAATATATCTTAACTACTTAAAATTGACCAAATTTTTAATTTTAGTCCAATTTAATTGAAATTTGCCATTATTACTGTTATAAGGCTAATTACCATTTAAATATTTATTTCAGAAATTTAAATATTTGTCTGACTAAAATTATTTTTACTACTTAAATTATTAGATTTAAACACCAACCAAAGTTATTCTGGTTCAATAAAATCTGCATTTGCTACTTAAATTTAAGGATTTTACAATATTGTACAGAGTAAATTTTCTATTTACTATTTTTATTTTCTATTTTACTACTTAAAAGATATGTTTGACTAAATTTGACTCTACTACTTGAATTAGCAAACTTTAAATTTCATTTCTGTCAACATTTCTCTACTTATATTTAATTAATTCAATTTAATTATAATTTGTCTGACTACAGTTTGTCTTCACTACTTTGTTTTCATTATTTCACTTGTCTGACGTACTTTAATAGTAATAATTGCATTATTTCCAATTAACCATTCTGTCTGACCGTAACTTACAGTTACTACTTAAAATATAGAATTTTCAAATTTGTCTCACTAAAATTTGTTTTTACTATACTTATTTAAACAATTAAAATAGGATTGTCTGACATAAATATACCTTAACTACTTAAATTAAAGATTTTTTAAATTTTTGTCTCATTGAAACTTGTCGCTACTATACTGATGTAAATATTTAAGCAATTCATTATCTTTTCAATATTTGTTTAAGAAATTTAAATTCTTGTCTGACTAAAATTACTTCTACTACTTACTATTTACAAATAGCTGAATTACATTTAAAACATCTGTCGGACTGTAACTTACAATTTTTACTGAAATTAAAAATTTTTAATATTTGTTTAACTGAAATTTACAGCTATTACTTATTTAAGCAATCAAAAATCGTTATGTCTGACAAAAATGTGCCATAACTACTTAAATTGAACAATTTTAAATTTTAGTCTGATTATAACTTGTTTATACTACTAACAAAAGTAAATTCTATAATAAATATAATCTATAATAAATAAATATATAAATTTATTTATGAAAATTGTTGTCTGACCAAAATTTCTTTTACTTCTTAAATTATTCGATTTTAAACCCGATTAAAGTAGATCTGTTTGCATAAAAGTTGTATTTACTATTCAAATTTGAGTTTTTAAAAATGTTTTTCACAGTAAAGGTTAGTTATTATTTAGCATCAGCATATTTTTCTTCTCTAGACATTATAACAAATTTTTAAAGTCTTTTTAAGGAATTTTTAAAAAAATTTTTTAAAATGTTTTAAAATTTGTTTCAGAGATAAATTTTCACCGATTCTATTTTGCGTTAACTGCACAAATTGTTAATAGCGTCTATTTTATAAATAAATACCTAGTGAACGAATTTGTAATTTTTTGTAAAATCAGATTTCAATTTCTATTCCGAATTAATATTTAAAATCGATGATTAGAAATTAATAATATGTCATTTTCCATTCGTGAATGAAAATAGATAAAGTGTTTAATTTCCAATCTGACTGAAAATTGATAATATATAATTTCCAATCCGTTTGGATATTGGTAATAATTAATATTTAATCGGATTGAAAATTTACAGGGATAAATTTAAAGAGAAATGTTTTGATAAGAAGAATAGTTTTGAGGTCAGAAAGTCATAGATATAACCTATAGAATATTGATAATTTACGTGAGAGAGAGAGAAAATGTGAGGAAGAGAGAAATAGAGAAGAAAACAGTATCTATAGTTGAAGCTCTATATCTTTATAGATTTTTCTTGCATTTAAGTTTGTGTGCCCTGTGGCAAATCCATTACGCAGAAAGCCTACAGGTTTCTTTCTTTTTTTTCTTCTTTTTCTGAACGTACGATATTAAAGCTACTTTTCTCAGTAGAGTTAAGTGGCACACTGCTAGGTGTGTATCGATCCGAGATGAAACTGTCTGATGCCAAGTATAACACCCAAGTCCATCTGGAGTCTCGTTAAAGCTCGATCTCTCTTCTAGAAACGTGATAGGGAAGCCAGTCATTGACCCACGATATCGACTCGAGATACTTTTTACCTATCTATAGCATGTTTGGAAAAAACACTCATACACATGTATTTTGGTCCAAAAGTATTTTTTAAAATTTTTTCCCCATTTTCAAATTTTATAAAATTTTACAATCATTCTTTTCAATGTTGCCACAGGTCAAGAAAATCAAGGAATTCAGGGAAAAGTCAAGGATTTTTATTAAAGTACTGAAAAAATTAAATTTCCAGTATTTATAATTAGTTTTAT